TTTTTCATTCAGTGTTGTTGTGTGTCTGAACACAGCAGCCTAGCAGATCTCAAGAAAAGACAAGTAGGCAAACAGGTGTAGGCTCACTCTCTGTCCAACAGCAGCTTCTAATATTAGCCTCATACTAAACCTTACACAGGTTGGAACCACACAAAGGGTTGATAAATTCAGAGTGCAGGTTTGTGTTTACTCAGAAATATTTGTGATCCTTCATAGTTTCATAGTAGGCTAAAGAACGCTGTAGCCACGTTTCCGAAATGGGCTGCAATGTAGCTAATCATGAGGGCAACAGTACACTGTCAAAGTATGTTCATTAATGCCTCATTTCCACTGTGTACGTATCAAATCGAAATCCATTAATTCCTATGAAAACCTCTGTGATCTTCAATGTGTTTAAGAAACTCGTCCTTTCACTTTTTTTTTGGTCCGAAATTTACCTCAAGTGTGTCGAAAAACTTTTGTGGCAGATATCAGACAGACTGTATCCACTGTGCCACAGGAAGTTAGCGTCACTGTGCTGCTTCATGTGCATATTCCACAAGATAGACTGATTTCACGCCGCCGCGTTGTTGGATTTAAAAAAAAATGGGAGGTGGGAAGTTTGCCCCGTTCACTGTTTACTGCATTGAAAATAGTAGTGTTTTGAGAGGGAAGCAGCACGTACCAAGGTGAGAAAGCGACAAAACCCTATCTTTCCAACGATTTCCCAAACATTGTAAGGGGGCTCATTTTTCCACATTGAGCGAAATGCCTTCGCTCTCACAGCACTCCCTGCCTCACTCCTCCTGACTGTAAAATCATATGACACCAAACATTAGCATGAGATATCAATTAAGACAGTAGAGTACACAAGGCACATAGTAACTTGTTAGTTAATGTTAGCTACGGCAAAGCAGCTAACGTTAATGCAAGCTTGAACAAATTACAATGCATTTTAAGCTTAACATGATGTGTGTACTGTGCGGTCATACTGACGAATAACAGACTTTATGGAACTAATGAAGAGTGAAAAAGGTGACAGATACCGGGGCAGACTTAGAAACTACTCAGAAATAATTATAAGTGCCCTGTTTTGGGATCGAAAGGTGACTGTCACATTGGCTACTCTAAAGACAGACTAGTTAGCCATGAGTTTTAGCTAGCCTGATAACATTATCACCGACACGACCTGACACAACCCAAACAAACGTTACCTACCTTCAATGTCAGTAGCCATGTTTCCATCAGCCTGTTTAGATGCGCATCTAGAAGTATCACATCGGAAAATTATGATGGAAACGCCAAAATTCAAATTAAAATCCCCTGATTCGCACAAACTAAAATACGCTCGCTTTAGCCAGGTTTTGGTTGATTCGAAAGAATGTTGATTCGCAAAACGGGGGATGGAAACAGTTATGTTTGAATTAACAGTATAGCGCACCTCTCTCCATGGTGATATCTACACTCCGGGTCGGGAAGGCGGAAATGCATTTACAAGCTGGTTGCCAACCGCCAGAAAACGTAGAAGAAGAAGAATGCGAGCTTGTTTTGTTTCCGGTTCTGCGGAAAACTCGCGTGAGTTCGTAGTTTTCACCAAAGTCCGTACATTTAATGGAAACACACAGGATTGGTATTTCTTTTAATGCGCATTTCCCAATGATTCGAATCACTTTTGGATGGAAACATAGCTACATTGGCTACTCTAAAGACAGACTAGTTAGCCAAGAGTTTTAGCTAGCCTGATAACGTTATCACCGACACAACCTGACACAACCTGACACAACCCAAACAAACGTTACCTATGTAGTCCTCAATCCAATTGCTGTAGCCTTTCAGCAAGACAGCTCTAGGTTTTCTGGATCCCTCTTTGGCCCAGTTTTCAACATTATTCATCGAAATGGGTGGAATTAGCTCCAAATTTTTACTCCACACCATCTTTCTTCCCCTCCTGCACTAGTATTTTCAGTGGGGGGCAGGGCTATCTTCCCAACGTTTTTTTTTTTTAATCCAACATGGTGGCGGTGTGAAATGAGCATATTGGGTGGCAAAAAACACTTAACCTTTCTGCCATTTCTGTGGTGGTGTTTCTATCCATTTGTAAAGAGATGCATTCCTTTGTGTTGAACACGAGGGCCATACACCGTAAACTTCACCGAAATACAGACACAAAACAAAACTGTGAGGCAAAGAAACTGACAGGCTCAGATTGTTATTATACTGTAAGTGTCTGACAAAGACATAAATGTTTTTCTTTACCATTTGCCTGATTTAGTCTGTTTCTTATGTGTCTAATCAAGTCTCACTGAAGTCTCATTCTAATGCTTTGTGAGTGTAGTTCTTGCAAGAAGACAATACAAAACAAACCAATCAAACGAAAATAAAAGAAAAAGGTTTTATTTCTGACAATCTGAGCCTGTCAGTGGCAAAAACAAGCACTTTTATTGGACAGACATTGACGGTGTACTGTTGCCCCAAAGATTACAATGCAGCCTCTTCCACAGCTGCCGGCTGCAGCGCTTTTGCTCAGCACTGGACCAGTTTCAAAAGTTGTTGTCCCCATTAGTCACATAGACACATAAACAGGATAAAATAGGATCCAAGCTAAAAAATACCAACATTTCCCTTTAATATACATTACTTTAAACTAGACTTTTTAAGAAAGTACTGTACATCACATTTGTACCTATAAGCACAGCAGAGATGCTCTCTTGGGAGTTATTGCTCTAATATATCACTGGAATTAATTGTGCCAAAACATTCAAAAGCAGTCGAGGAGGGACTGCAGTTGTAATAGGCAATAACTCCAGTTATGTGGTTTTTTTTTAAACTTTCATTGGGTCCACTTTGGTGCTTGTCACGTTTGATTGCCCCCCGAATTTCTGAATAAATCCTTCCTCCTCCAGTCAAAACAGTGCTTCCCCATCTTATGAGCTGGAACTCATGCCTTTACGAAAAGCCTCATATCATCTTATCTCCTCAGAATCACATCACACAGCTCTCCACATCTGTCTCCTCCATCCACTCTAATTTGCTTTCTCTCCTAACAGCAGCAACTACAAATACAACTTCTATTCGGCCCGCTCTTATTATTACTCTCACGTCCCCACTCTTGAAGTAATTCTACCGCTGTGCTCATTGTGAGTCGCTCTGGATAAGAGCGCCGGCTAAACGCCTCAAATGTAAATGAAATTGTAAAAGAATCTCTCTAAAAGTCAAGCAAGTTAGCTGTAATTGTCAGTGCAAGAGAAATAATAAAGTAACGCTGGTAAGAAACAGCTGACACATCTGTGGGATGTACCGCAGATGATCATTATTACAATTAATTTGACAATGATATATTTTGTAAGATTCCGTCTCTGGTTTTCTAACAAGCTGAATTCACTGGGAGCGTGATTTACAGCCTTTTCTACATAATGTGCACTCATCTGCTGTTAAGACAATGTTTCATTTTTGTGGCTTTTCCCTTTTTTTATGCATACTTTATTCAGCAAAAATAACATTAACATTTAGCCATACATTAATATTTAAAGACTAGATGGCATAGATGGATCTTACCCAGAGCAACTTGGAATAAGAGCAGATATAGTTGTACATGCTAATTCCTCCAGCTGCCTTGAGGCTCTGTTTTGATCTTCTATCGTCACATTTCGGGCTCTCGGGGTCCTTTGACAAAATATGCATGATGTTAGCTTCATTTCCGAACAGTAATATGTTGAATAACGCTCACACCTGTAGCAGGCACCTTTCTTCCTATCTCTATTCCTCTGTGCCACCTGTCACCGTCTCACCAACAACCCCCACCCAAACTGCCACTGCTACCTTTGTGGCCCCCCATTGAGTTCAAACGAAGAGGCCTATTTTCACTTGCCCCCCCCAGCCCCCCCCACCCCACCCCCACACACACACACACTCCTAGCCCCTCTCAGGAGGATAAATACATACGCTGCATTAATTCATCCATGTCTTTCCAGACTTCAGTCAAATGGTTTTTTTTTCTCCTACTCTCTTAAGGGACTCAAGGACTTTCAGCAGAGGGTCCCTGTGTTTACTTTGTACTCCCGGGTGGGATATTTCCATTTGAATGAATGCCTCGGGGTGTGGGCTGGGTTTAGATATCTCATCTTCAGATGCGCACATGTGTGTGTATTCCAGAAGTTTCTGTATGCACACTGTATCCACCTGCGTGATTCCCAGCATATGAGCAGATTTAATGAAGCTCTGCATGTTTTAAAGAGCACCTGCACCCCTGCATATGTTATAAAGATGCTGAGAATAAAGTATGCGTTTGTGTAAGATGGTGTTTATGAGCGTTGTGTGTAGCGCATACCTATCATCTCAGTTCAAAGAGGAAGTGCAAATCTTAAGTCATGTTAAGCTATTGGCTCTCTATGGGCTCTCTATATAAAAGCGGTCTCCCCCCTCAACCTTGCCTGGAGCGCTGATAGGATGAAAAATGGATAGAAGCCCCAAAGGAAGGAGGGGGAAGGTCCATCTGTGAGCTGCATTCAAGGACAACAGTGTTATCCATTTTGGAACAGTATGAAACAAGCCAGTGTTTTCAGAGGGGTTTGGAAATGTGGGCTTCTGGATGAACTGTGGGTGCTACTGTTGTCTTGCCAAGCCAACTGTGATGTTGCAGATTAGATGCGAATCATTGACTCCTTGTTTGTTTCAGCGCGGCTCTCCTCATTCAGAGTGAGAGATAATGAACAAATGTGACTGATTGTTTCTGATCAGTGTTGTGGTGAATTACCGCAGCAACAGGGATTGTTTTGCAGTGCTCTGGCGCTCATAAAAGCTGCGTTTAATGTGATTTTATGTCGTTCAGCCCGGAGGTGTTGGGGTTTGGCTATATCTATTAATCTCTGTTTTGTTCTTGTTTTCTCTTCTCCCTTCTGTCTCTCCCTTTTCTGTTCGCTCCTCCATCATTTCACTTTTATGTTCCCCCCCGAACTTTCTTTGCGCTCTCTTTTTTCCCTCCTTCCACTCCTCCACCTCCTCCTTCCTGTCCTCTCTGCTAGAACCAATTCCACCTGCAGATGTCGGCCCGCGTGCCTCCATCGACCCTGGGCAGCCTGCTGCTGGCGGTCCTGCAGGGTAGAGAAGGGGACAGGGACAGAGGGAGCCGTGGGGAAGGCAGCTGGGGAGGAGCAGCTGTGATCTGCCCCGGCTGGGAGGAAGGGGGTGATGGGTTGCTGTCTCACCTGCAGGCGCACAGCGGTTCTAACTGGCATTTGTGGGACATTATCAACCTGACCATCATCTCCGGCGGCGGCGGAGATAGAAGGGGGGAGGCCAGCGAGGAGAAGAAGGAGGATCAGAGGGAGGAGGAGGCTTTAAAGATCCTCTCCACCCGTTTCCTGCGCTCCCCCTCTCCCATCTCCTCTGTTCTCCTCCTGGGCTCTGACCCCGAGTGTCTCTCCTCTGTCCTGCGGGCCGCTCAGCGCCTCGCTCCGACTCTACCAGCACTGCAGTGGATCATGGGATATCCCTTGTCTCCAGATTCGCTCCACACTCTAGGAGGACCTCTTGGACTGTTAGCCTACGGGGAGGTGGGCCGCAAGCCAATCAGCTTCTACATCCGGGATGCTTTGCAGTTGATTGGCCGCGCGGTCGCTGCGGCGACCATGGTGAGGCCGGACCTGGCGCTGATTCAGAACATGGTGAATTGTTTCGACAAACCAAACAGGCATGAGCTGCCCTCTTCGGGACAATACCTGGCCAGGTAAGTCCACACATGCACTGTATATTATTCATTCACTCATTCATTTTCTGTAACCACTTATCCTGTTGGGGGTCACGGGGGGCTGGAGCCTATCCCAGCTAACATTGGGCGAGAGGCAGGGGTCACCCTGGACAGGTCGCCTGACTGTCACAGGGCTGACACATAGAGACAGACAACCATTCACACTCACACATATTATATAGACATTAATGAAAACAGTCAGTTCATCCAAATTATAAAGAAACGAACATCGTCTTGTTTACAGCTGGTGGTATCTAGAAATACATATAATTTTGGTTTAATGTGCAATTAAAATTAATTTTTGCTAGGAAAAAAATGCATATGTACATATACATAAAGGAGAAAGTTACACTGTATTCATTTTTCTCACATGACAGTGTCACCTGCATTAGTGTTCTCCAGGAGACATCAATTTTGGGTTCCACCTGGTGATGTTAGCCATTGCTCACTCCAATGTGTGATTTAAAGCTATGGGAGGCAGTTTTATGTTGGCATCAATGGACAAAATTCCCATCATAACCTTTCACTACCATAATACAAGTGGTCTGAGAAAACACTTCTTGGCTCTGTTTCCAGGCTTTAGAAAATCTATCCCATGATGGGAGACTTAAGCAGGATTTATACTTCTTGGTTGAATCGATGCCATACCCTACACCATAGCCTAACGCATACCTCTCCAGAAATGTAACTACACGTTGTGGCAACGCAGACCTCTGTCTATTTTTGTAAGCTGAGATCATTTCCCTCAGTGGAAACGAAGCTTTTATTTACTTTAATTTCACAGATAAGAAACAATAAATTGTGAAGACAATAAAGCCTCCACAAAAATAGTATTTTAAGTTTTGTGTGTGATTTATCCTGGCTTCATATGAGCAGAGGAAATCTCCGCTAGTTGCTAGGCTAATTTATACAATGTAAAATGCCATAGGCTTGTGCTAATAACGTTAGTATGTTGTATTTGTTTGGAAAACGTGTTTAGTATACGACAGTTGTTTTGTCAGTGAACCTTGTGAGTTGTAATGGAGCTGAATTTTGTAACGTTACCTTTGTTAGATGTTGCTGTTGCCCCTGGTTTCATATGAGTAGAAGAAAAGTCTGCTAGCCGCAAAGCTAATTTATACAATGTAAAATGCCATAGGTTTGTGCTAATAACAGTAGCATGTTGTATTTGTGGGGGAAATGTATCCAGATAAAGACAAGTGTTTGTCTGTGAATGTTGTGAGTTATAGTGAAGCTGATTTGTGTACTTATGCTTGACATTGTCTCTAATAAGCCATGTTTAATGTGTGTTTAATGTGTGTTTTGAATCAACTAAACTCAACAGCACTTCACAGAAACTCCACCGCCCAACTAGTGTTTTGGAGGTGTAACTGCAGAGCGACACAGACACACCACCGCACAAGTATAACTGCTCACAATGGCGTAGGTGACGGCGTAAGATCTGCATAGAACTGCACAACTATAAATCTGCCTTTTGGCCAATCCCAGATCATTTCAGAGAGAGGGCATTCCTATTGGCTGTTCTACAAATGCAGATGCATTTGCATATTCCAGATAATGAAAGCCTTATTCAATGGCAGGAAAATTTGCAGCAACTGCCTGCAAAGCAACCACAAAAGAGAAGATGGATATATCAAAAAGAGACTCAATAAAACATGTCAATATCAGGAAAGCGTTTCAGAGATGGAGAGAAAATGTTGCTAATAGTTTGTGGCATGGTGGGGCCACAATATGGAGGGTTTCGTGGAGTAACAGCTCCTCCAAAACTTTAGGAGGCACAGGGGGTACATTCCAATATCTCTGTCGGCATCTACAAGGCTGTCACAGCAGGACTCAAAATGTAGACAAGCTGTCCCCATCATAAAGTGTCTGGCAGTCGGGCTCTACTGGCTGGTGACTGAGGCAGCAACCGCAGCAGCGGAACAGCTACGGCAGCCTTCTGTAGTTTTTCAGCAGACCGCTCCGACACTGTATGGGAAGTGATGTGCTCCTGCACAGTGAAGTGTGATATGGAAAGAACATGGATGTATGGGAAGAACACACATGAATGCTTCCATGACCACTCACAGCAGCTGCATGGCCAGTGTTTGGACATATATTCGACTTCTGTGTCACACTGGTTTTCTGTATGGAGTGCATGCATATGTCTGTGCTCATCTGGAGGGAAAGGTTTAGGATAGAGAGGGGAGAGCTGCAGGAGGAGGGTGTATTTTCAGACTGCCCTTTTCTAGAAAACTGCCTACCACAGCTTTAAACACTCCCTGTTTTACTGCATGACTTTGTGTGTTACTCCATATCATGATTTGTAACATGGGTAAGTGCTGAGGTTAAAGGCCTACCCACTTGCCGTGTAAGTTTTGACAGTGCGGTCACTCGCCATTATCACATCCAGAACTGTGAAAGAGAGCTCAGGGAAACCCAGAGACAATTAAGGCTGCCCCTGACTAAGAATTTTCCTAGTCGACCAATAGTCGTCATTTAGGGCCATTAGTCGACTAGTCGCCCGCATGTTTACGATATTAATTTAATTTAATTATTAAATGATATATTTTGAGCGGGGCAACACAATGGTTTGAGTTGAAGGTGTGAGAAAGAATAGTATCAGTAACATTGTTAACACTGTGATACATTACAGAGAAATACAAAACCGTACTAATGAACCTTCATTAATATAGGCCTATATTTTATCTACAAGTGCACGTCACACACTGAGCGAGCCGCCCGTTAATGACACTGTGGGCTAATGGGCATGTAGCTACTTCCATGTTTCAGATGATACGTCATGTTTGTAATCGACCAATGAAGATGAGTTTACATATCACCTTGGGTTCGTCCTTCACCTTCTCAAAATGATCCCACACTTTGGATTTCCTGCCCGACATGTTATTAACTAGCCTGTGGAATAACCGCAGGTACCAGATGTGTAAATCAGTGTGACTCCTGTCTGACTGCTGAGCGTGGACACTTCCTGTGTCTGTCCTTTCAAATTAAATCCCCACATGGCCCAGTCATATAGGTTTTGGTTTATTTTGACAAGGCGCAGCTCCTAATAGAGTTTTTGTTTTTTGTTTATTCTGTGACTAAGCGACCAATGAAATTTTGCCAACTAATGACCTTTCTGGTTGACTAACGTCTGATCAACTATTAGGGGGCAGCCCCAGAGACAATTAAATTATTTCATGCCATGCTTCTCAGCCAAACAAATCTGTGCATTCTGATAAGCATTAAGATACAAGTGAGTGAGGTACACACACGACAAGAGAAAACAGTCAGAGAAACGAGTCAGAGAGAAGTAATTTCACATGGTGTGCTCTAAAGAGAGAAAAGTAGACAGTGAAAACAGAGCTTTTAATCCAGACTGGACAGACTCTTCTATGTTCCTCCTTCCCACGGGCAGTTTAAAACCAGTGTGTCTCATCATATGTTCTGAGACCATGGCGATTATTAAAAGCAGCGATATGAAACGCCACTACGAGACAAAACTGAGAGTAGAGCATCTTTTGAGCAAACATACCCAATCAAATCCGAACTGATGGAATAGAAAATAAAATATTTTATATGGCACTGAGTCACTAGGGGATTAAAATATTATGTTATAATCAGACATAAATATTGAATGGAATTGATTAGATTGGTTCCATTGTCACCAAAATCCGATCCAGCTATTAGCGTCAACATCAGCTCGATATCTGACATCAGTACCTGATTGTGCATCCTTACCTACAATACTGAAAATTTACATTACCCTTGGATAATCCACAGACCTGTCAACACTTTTAGTCTAAGCTTTTTCTTTAATAGCACATACTTTTTAGATGTCTTTGCGTAATTTAGGTGAATTCGCTCCTAAAGACGAAATCACAGAGAATAATTTTAGTTTTGTGGCACTTTGCTAAAGGTCAAAAGGTCACTTCCAGAGCTGTGCCCTGCAGCTGGTAGAGACTTGCTCAAGAAAACTTCAGCAGAGTGGACGATTGAGAAACTTATTCCTCTTCCAAAAATTACATATATAGCTTTAGGGCAACATGGGAGAAGCAGCGGTCTGCTCAGGATTGGACCACAAATACTCTCTTTAAACCCTGCAGCCAACTGGCCAGCCAGTTTCTCCTTAATGCCTCCTGGTCACTAAAGAATGCTTAAGCTAGGTCCCAAAAGTATACCCATTTAAATCACCAAATGATATATGGAAGATTCTGACAAGCTGCAATTAAATTCCCCGGGTCACACCACTTAATGTCTGCAAGCTCGTTATCTTTCTGAGTGACACTTTGGCATTTTTATGAGGAGTTGCTGGCTCTACTTGTGGTACTATACGCTCCGGTTGTTGCCCTTGTCTGTCCTCTGCACCACGGGGGTGGCTCCTTCTGAATAGCGCTGTCATACTCGGGGTAGGGAGGAGGTCTTTATGGCATACAGATTCGCAGACTGACACCGCAGAGTTTTGTCTGTTCGTCTCCGCCGTTGCTGCTGCTTCAATCCCCGCAGCTTTTAAAAGGGCCTCTGACAGCTTTCAAGGGTTCTGTCAAGGTGCGGTCTGTGATAACGCATACACGCACGCATTAAAAAAACACGCTGAAATACATATTAAACCATAAATGTTTTCACTTAAAGCAGAAAAAAATGAATCCCCAACATTTGTAGACAGAAAGAAGGAAAAAAAAAAACTCACACTGGCATCCATTGCAACTCCTCTTAAGTGGCGGAGCCCGGTGCCATAAACTCACTCCAAAGTTAAGTATCTCTGCTCTGCCGGCTGACATGGATATTTTACAATGGTGCTTTGGATAAAACAGCATGTATCCAACTTCTGTGGTCATGTGGTTGTGGTGAGAGAAAGATTTGTGGTTTGAGCCGGGCCCCACAGCAAATATTGAACACACACGGTGCCTGCCAGCCGAGAGTGATCATCAACACCACCCACATAATCACAAGCTGGATTCTCACAGAGTTCCCTCCTTCTGCAGTTAACTTGAGCACTG